CTGTCGTCGTGTTGGTTGTCATTGGTGTCGCTGGATATATTGTGTGTCAGAAGAAGAGAGGTGAGGACGGACAACTATGACAGCTTCTTCTGCTGTCCATCTTACTTACACAACTGCACATAAAACACAGGACTTGAGGTTTCTGGGATGGGAACAGAAATGTGAATAAACAAAAACGTACATTTTTAGATTTTAACTATTTGACAGATCATTGAATATTAAAGTTAAAAATAAATTATAATTACAAGTTTTTGTTCATCTTTTTTGTTCATTCATTCATGGACATTTGTTCAGCTGGAAAGTGTATATATTAAATGTATATATTGCTCTTCAGTAACAACGAAGAAAACAAGAATGCACATGATTGATTTTTAGGATTTGTGGAAGTTTTATTTGCGTTTGATATCAGTACTGACCTTGAAACCATAAATCCTGGGAAATATGACAAGTGTATCTAGTCAGGTTGATTCAGACATATTAAATACCACTTTTAACCAGTTGGTTTAGATGTTACCTCATGCGGATTTCATGGTATATATGTCGTCTTCATTGCTATATGTTGCTTGGTTTGGCAAATACATTTCAGTAAATCACAAGATGTGTATGGTAATCTGGATGAAAAATAAACATTATGTTTTGACCAAAAGCTATTATAGGTTTGCTGTTGTAGATTAAAAATAATGCATTGTAATTCATTGATCTGCATGTGTGGTTAGTGATTAGGACTTGCCACTGCCATATTCTTAGTATTTCTATTTGAAAGCACTAGTTCATTACACCCCAACTTTAGATTATACTAATAGATCATTATTTGATAGATTTCTCTCTGCAATTAAAAAAAATCTATATTTTGCCACTATTGAAATATCATCCTTGATGTGGGTTGTTGTTGTTGTTTTTTTTGCCAAAAATAAAGTATGCATTTTCTTTGTACTCTGCACTTTCTGTTCAAGGCCTTGGACGTTTCCTATATTATAAATAATTTAATCAATGTAATATTGATTATTTAATATAATAATATAATTTAATATAATAATTTTATGAATAATTTTTCTGACATCATACTTGTTTATATACAGTATTCATCATGTTTGTACCATTGTTGCGCAATAACACAACTCAAATACAGGGGCCATATTTGACCTACAAAATAATGACATTAAACCCCATAAAGTTCTTTTTTTGTTTTGTTTTTGTTTGAGCTAGTTACAGAAAATACAATTCAAATATTACAAAGAATGCTGGAATATGGTCTTTAGTTTGAGACGTTTGATTATTATTTGCATTATTTCAGTCAGATAAAGTAATAAAACAGTAAGTTTGAATGGGAAATCAAATGTGTGCTTAGAACATTCCCTTCACACTCATCAGGTGACTTTATATTACATATATGATATACTCTCTGTATTTTATCTGTTTATAACGCAAAGAAAAAAGATCTGCTGCCCGATCCCCTCTAACGACTTCAAAAGTTAAGAGACAGAAAGGCAGGTAACATCCTAATGATTCTCAACAAACAGATCATTACTTCTTTGAAGCTCTACACTAACTAGTATATCTGTAAACGGTCAAGTTCACATTGATAAACATTAAAAAAATTGAGTTTACATGAATAAAGTTCTGTTTGTCAAAGCTCAGAGTCCCAAAACTAAATATTGGCAACAGTAGTATTTAAAATACAATTAATTTACATTTTACATGACAAAATTTGCAGATTTTTTCCAGCATTTTCTATAACCAGCATTAAAAAAAAATTTTTTTTTAAGAAAACTTACACAGAGTAACCAACCCGAACACATACAGCAATCTAAAAATCTTAAGCAAAGATTGAAACTCAGTACATTCAACTATTCTGAAAGGATTCTTTACAAGACCAGTTTCACTGCACTCTATTCAGCCTTTAAAATCACCTCCAGGTCCAGGTTTACTTCTGCTTCTGCAGAACAGACAGAGATATCAAATAAGTATACAGTTATACCTGAAAACTAAAGATTGCATGAATGAAATGTAAAACTTTTGAGAGTGTTGTTTGCAATGTTGCAAAAAAATACACTGTTTACCTTATCCTTTAATTCAGTCTCACTGGAGTCTATATGAAAACAAACAAAATAATCATAAATAAAATTCATGATTAAAACATTCCAGGGCATCTCATATCACAAACACAATATTAGTCTATATAAACTGCAATACGGCATTTTATATTTTATATATATATATATTTATTTTGAATGTTTCTTACTATAGAGCAAATAATTCTAATGTGATACTACAAAAAAATTAACATTTAGGTGTCCACACTGAAATTTAACTCACCAGAAGCGCAGAATGTCCATGAAAGAAACTTTATCAGGCCGTAAAGAACAAGTGCAACAGCGACCATCGCCATCGAGTCCTCAATAGAAGGAGCACTGACACCTGAAATCAACAAAACATCACATCAACACTTACAGAACATTCTGACTGACAGAAATATTCTTCAGGAAATGCAAATAG